GCTCTTCATTGTAATAGCCAAACTGCTTGCTGTAAAGACAATTTCCACGAATGGTGATAGTTTTTTCAATGAGACATTCCCGTGGGTAGGATGAGAGAGTGAGGGGTTGTTGCAACTCTTACGGATGGCGTGAAGTTTCTGGTCGTAGAAACAATCGCATATGTATTAACTGCTCATTTACTGGGTAATGAAGCAATTCGAATTAATAATCGTTACAGCACAAGCCTCTTTCGTATTCTCTCTTTAGAACAGGGTGGATGTATTCGGAAAGTAGCCCGAGTACTAGCAAGTGTCAAGACCAATTGAACCATTGGTGAAACTGTTTATGGCTCCCCTTTCAAGAGTTATTTGCAAACGCGCATGACGTGTTTGACTCCTTGGCTTGTGCCACTATCAGTTTACCATTGAAATGAATGAAAAAATCATGGAAGCATTGTTGTTCCATCAGCATAGTCGAACCCTTGACGCACAGCACGAGACTGTGCTGCTTGCCTCTGCGCCATGACTGCCTTTTTTCTAAATTAATCTTTTTTTTTTTTTCAGAAAAGACCAAAAAATACACAGGTGACACGAGTATTGGAAGGAGCGGAGCCAGCTGCTTTCACGCAGTGGGCCAGCTCTTGGGAAGGTGGCAAAAAGATCCCAGCGTATACACCCAAACTGTTTCAATGCAGCGATCAGAACGGCAAATTGGCGGTCGAGGAAATTTATAGCTATTCACAAGAAGTGTGTTTGTTCAAACATTTTTGAAATTTCTCACGTTAAATTGTGGAGCACTAGCTCACATCATTTCAAGTTACCGTAGAGGACACGAAATGTGAATACTAAATTAGCACAGACACTCAATTTGCTTTTACTTATGTGCTATCCTATTCTTGTTCACTTTTAACCAGTTAATTATTAAATAGTGAATTGAGAAGCTTCACGTAGGTGTGCTAATTGCGTAGCGTTCATTCCTTTCCAGCTATTCATCAGAATTCTGTTTTTTATCTTGTTTACGTTTGCATTACATTATTTCTAGTTCTTTACTATCCTTTATATTAGACCAGTATTAATTTCTTTACATATTTTGCGGAATTGTTTTTATTATGCTTTTTTTGCAAATGCAAAAACCCACATTGTCTGCGTTTTGTATGTGTGTGTGTGTGTGTTCGGATTTTTGTTACTCACATTCAGCTTAGCAACTCTTGAAGCTAGGAAGCTAGAATTTCACAAAGAAGTTCCTAGACCATGTGCCTTCCAAACATTTGAATATCAATGCCCTCGAACAGCTGGGTCTTACGTACAAGGGCCAAAAAAATTCGTGCAAGTTTTTTAGCGGAAAAACGATTTTGGGAATCGGAGTAGATTGAAAGCCAAAATTTCACAGGGATATTCTATGCCTCTGCGTGAGGAAAAGATCTTAAATTCAGCTTTAAAGCTTTCCTATCTCACAAGTAAAGGACATATCAAAGTAGTCGTTTTGCCGTCGTTGGCAAAATGCCAGTTCAATAGCAAAGTTGTTTATAACATGATTTTGCGAAAATACCGTCCGCCTGCAAACACATAGGCGAAAAATAAGATTTGGCTTGCACTTGTGTGACTCATTTGGGCTCATCTGAGATATTTTTAACAAAAAGTGAATTTGTTAACCAGTTAAGTTAGGAAGCTGGAATTTCATGAGAATATTCTATACTCATTTGCGACCGAGATTTTCAAATTCAGCTTCAAGCACGCCTAGATCACTTGTTCAGGCAAGTGAATATTTGACTCGGGATACTGTTGACACTCAATTAGCTCAGTAGCCAAAATGGCCAGAACCAGGTTTTTCTGATGATTTAGGACGGCCTTTTGTATAAGTTTATTTCTTTAAGCATAGGACAATCTTTTTTGTAGGTTTATCTCTTTACTAATATAATACCTCAAGCATTTTCAGTACTTTCTTGCTGCTATTATCTTATTTTGAGTTCTTTATGGGTAAGAATATTAATATTATAAAAAATGTACACTGTTACACTTATCCATTCTCATATGCATTTATGAGGGACCCCCTTTGATAGTTCTAGCTGTATTTTATGTTTTATGAAACTGAGTTTCTTTAATGTTTTTCACAGATGAAACATCAGCAGCTGTGTACTCGAGAATGAGTGATTGCAGGATCTAGATGGCGACGATGTGATGATTTTGGATGCACTGAGTGTCATTTATGTTTGGGTCGGTAGCGGAGCTAACGAGAACGAAAAGAAGTTCGCCGAAAGTGTCGCCAGCGTATGTCATCGGTTTCATCCTATTTAAGTATTATCGAGAAATTTAGCTAACACTTAAAATAATGAGCATAGCATGAACAACAGCATTGGCACTTATTTTTTGCCTGGATTCTTTGTGGAGCACAGTGAGACGTTTAAAATTTGAATTATAAATTTTGTTCTAATTAGAGGCCCAATGGAAATATGGGACTAGGGTCCCCTGTACTGTGAGGCAAATGGGATCAGGAAAATCCCAGGACTGTGACTTCCTATACAGTGCAATTTGTTTTTTATAATTCAGTTAATTTGGTATATAATAAAACTAAACTAGGGTCAAGCACAAATGAGTGCAAAGCAAGAAAGTTCAAAAAAATAATTCCAATTCTGGTGTTCGTACTAGGGGTCCGGAACCTACGTTAGCTTCAGACTTTTGCGCTTATGCAAATGCAGATGCCCACATTTATAAAGAGCATAATAATACACCTTTGCGATGTCAAACAAGATGCATAAGCAAAGTTTTGTCATAATGCTGTTTCATTTAGCTGCAAAAGCAGAAAACATACTAATGGCATCATAAGTCATAGTTTTTTCGTATAAAATTCCAGAAATATTTGGAAGGTGATGTGCGTCCACGTCCAGAAACGGCTCGCATCGTGAAACTCGAGCAGGGGAAAGAAACAGTCGAGTTCAAAAAAATCTTCGAGAAGTGGGACGATAATTTGTTCAGACCTGTAAGCCTTTTATTAGTAAAGTTCCAAGCAGTCTTCTTGATCGGGTATTTTTTTTTGGCAACAGCAGTGGCCGCCTACAATAATAATTTTTGTAATAATTATTAAACGCAGCCACTTCTCGTACGTGCAGATGCATTTGGATGAGCCTTTTACGAACTTTTACAGTGGAAGCACCGAAAATCACGACATATCAAAAAAAATCAAAAAATATAAAATTAAGTAAAGAGCGACGCTCATCATGGTGGCCGGTGCGACCGCGTGTTTTGCGCAGTTCCGTCCAGCGGACGTTTGCCTGCTAAAAACTTAATTCTACACTTTCATGTGTGCATAAACAGTGATTATGTAGTCTGACTCCTGCGCTATAAAATTTCATGCCAAAAAATTCTACGCATCGTACGTGAATTTGAAACCTTAAACGAGAAACATCTTTCCAAATTTCAACCTTACGGTTTTCCGGTTTCCAACTTAGTGACTTTCGCATCGAAACTTCCACGTGGTCGCATGTAAGATCTCGGCATAACCTGGAGCTAAATTTGGGTTTGTGAAAAATCTGCACGAGCAGAAAACATCCTCTTGAAATTTCAGCCTTACAGCCGCTCTGGTTCCCGAGATAATAACTTTCCCCACCAAAATTTTTGCAGGGCTGCACAAGAGACTTAGGCGTACATGAGAGCTGAATTTGATTCTGTGAAGTCGTATGTGAGCAAAAAACATTCTCCCAAAATTTCAGCTTCGTATCGTTTACGGCTTCCGAGACAGTAGTCTTTCTCGCTGAAGCTTTCACAGAAACGCAGTTGAGAATCAGACTTAATGGAAAGATGATTTTGAATCTGCAGGGTAGCAAATGGCAGGAAACATGCCCGTTAAATTGATCTTCCCAGCTTTCATGGTTCCTGGGAACAATAATTTTCCCACCTAAGCTTTTGCAGGGCTCAGCGTGATAATCAAGTGCGCAGGAAAGATGAGTTTGAATTTTTCGGGTCACGGATGGGCAGGGGAATACCTTTGGAATTTCAGCGTCCTAACTTCCGTGGTTCCTGAGATAATAATTTTCTTGGCCAAAACTTTGAACATGTGTTACCCGCGTGTGCCGGAAGGCTTAATTTAAATTTGCGTGGTTGCACGTGGGTAGGGAAACTGTGCTAAATTTTCAGTCGCCTAACTTTTGTAGGTCGTGAGTTGAAAATGCGGGACAAAACGCATTCAGATACACACACACACACACACACAAAGGCAAACCCGTGAAAACAACATGCGTTTTTTGCTGTTGTTAAACAATGCAAAACGTATAAAAATTTAATTGACAGGAAAGCTTTGGCCCATTAAGTCATAGACATTCCTATTCAGCACTACAACTAGATCTCG